CCCGCCTCTCGGGCGGCGGCGGGAAGATGAGGTTTCGGGAGCCTCTCCTGGGCGGCAGCGCCGCGATGCCCGGTGCGTCCCTGCAGCGGGCCTGCCGCCTGCTCGTGGCCATCTGCGCGCTGCACCTCGGGGTCACCCTCGTCTACTACCTGTCCGGCCGGGATCTCACCCGCCTGCCGCAGCTGATGGGAGTCTCCTCGCCGCTGCGCGGGGGCGCGGGCGGCGCCGCTAACCTCGGGCAGCCCTCCGGGGAGCTCCGGCCCCGAGGGGCCCCGCCGCCGCTGCCCTCGGACTCTGCCTCCAAGCCGCACCCCGATCGCCGTCCCACGATCAACTGGACCGCGGCTCCCGAGCCCCACAGCACTGCGCTGCCGCTGCCCACCTGCCCGGAGGAATCTCCCCTGCTCGGTAAGGACTCGACCGTGCCAGTCCGGGCACTGGGTTTCCCCCGGATCTCCCCAGCAGGGCCCCCTGGACAGTCCCCTTGCCTTCTTCCAGGAATTGGTCATTCGAAACGAAGGCTCCGCGTTGGTGAGAATGGGAAGCTGCTTCCGGGGGGGGGGGGTCCTGTTTGGAGCTGAAGAGGGGGCGGGATCGGGAAGCCCCGGGAACCCAGAACGGGGGAAGCTTTGGGAACATCCCTGCGCAGGCCCAAACTCGGGAAGTTTTGGGATTTGAGTTCGTGTCGAATCTGAGCAGCCGGCGCCCTGGTAACCCTGGGAGGGTAACCCCGCCCCCCTCCGAGACTGCTAAACGGAACCCTCTTCCTTTTGGGGGCCTGGCGACGAGGCCTCTGGTGGGAAAGGGAACCGGCCTCCCAGCTCACGTGTCTTCTTCCCATAAAGCCTCTCTCTCCAGAGTCTAGGCTAACTTTCCTGTTGAGCCTTTGGGCGAGTGACTTAGCCTTGCTAAACTTCCCGGTCTCTTGTCTGGTAACTGGGGATAACCGCAAAACAAAAACAAAACAAAACAACTACAACAAAAATTTCAGAGCCATGGAGTTGATCCCAAATCAGAGGGACCATCTCTGGGAGGTTATTTGAGAAGATTCCACGAAACAATGTAAACAAGAGTTTACAGTGATGAAGGCAAACCCCTCTGTAAGTTGTCACATTGTGTTTGGTTGTTCCTCTGTTGTAGCGATCAGGATGCCTCCTCTACTTCCTGTCCTTGTAGGTCCCCACAACCTAAGTGAGCAGAGCTCTCTCTGGGGCAAAGAGACTGTGTGTGTGTGTGTGTGTGTGTGTGTGTGTACACGGGGGCAATGTGTGAACTTTGGGGCCTGGAAAGCTAAACTATAACCAGGCAGCACCCCTTCCTAGGAGTGGCCTGGAACTCTGGCCCCCAGAGGCTGTTTCAGCTTGTGTGGTTGTGTGTGTATTCCTCAGGTGAGGAGGAGGTTGGCCCAACTTACCTCTGACCACTTGCCCTGTAGCCCACCACCCACAGGTCCCAGGCAGCTAGGCCTCCCTAGGTTGCTCAGGGCTTACCAGAGGGGTGGCCACATTTGAAGCAGTTGTTGGGAGTGAGGGGCCCCGGCAGGCACCGCTTTGTCACTTCCCTGCAGAGCTCTGGCAGAGCAGGCCTCCTACATGCTCTTGCTCAATTTCTCCAATAATTACTTCAATATTTTCGTATCAAGTTTGGGAGGAACCTTTGGAATTGGTTGGACTCAACTTGTAGTAATGAAAGGGCTTTTTTTCTTTTCTTTTTGAAGCAGAAAATGAGATCCTTTGGGGCTTTGTCTGGGGAAGCAGACTGCTCCTCCTGTAAAGTGATGTAGAATCTTTGCTCTTCTTCTAGAGTTGACCTCCAGCCCTGACAGAGTGTCTCAGAATGTCTGTGTAAAATGGGCTTCTTTAATCCGGCCGGGTTGTTTTGTGCACATTAAATTGGTGGCATATATAGAGTACTCAGCTTTTGATGGCTAATAATAATAATAATAATAATAATAATAATAATAATAATAATAATAATAATAATAATAATAATAATAATATAGTGTCTGCTGGGGTCCTTGAAGCTCCATGTTCTTAGCATCCTGTGAAGATAGCTTTGAACAGCAGAGAGAAAGGGTAAAAGGTGAGTCCCCAAACCACACAGAGGCCACGTTTTATGCTTTTGCATGTTTCCTGGTCTTCTCTGGACTCTGCAGAGAGACAAGTGAGTGGCAAATCAGAGAAGCCCCCATAGTTCATTTGATCAGTATTTGAAGTATAGGGTTTTCTCCCAGAAGCCTGTGCAATGATGGGGTCCAGGGGTGGGGGGCAGATTGCTTCATTTGGTTTTCTTTTTTCTTTTAAAATCATTTTATTGGGAGCTCTTATAGATAGCTTAACATCCCATGGTTCAATCACATCAGCCAGTATGGTGTAATTGACCATCAGTTTCAAGCGTGTTGTTCCTGCTTGAGCTCCTTGGTCTCAGTTCATTTAGTTTTCTGTGTTGCTAGTGCACCTCCCCAGCTCATGGGAGTTTCTGAGTTGCTTCTGAAGTGCTGCAACTGAGCTGGAGCATGCTTCCCGAGGGAGAAGCTCTTGTGGGGCAGCAGAGAGGGCCTGGCCTCCTCTCGCGCTTCCTTTATGGCACAGGCTGCTGAGGCAACCCTGGAAAGTGAGGGCGGAGGCTTGTCTTCACACGAATTGAGTGCTGAGGCTGGAGGGGTTGGGTGCAGCTCTGGGAGTGTAGGCTCCCACAAGGAGGACCAGCTTGAGAAAGCAGAAAGTCCCTCTGGAGGTGGGTGGTGTGCCGGTGGACCCCATCTGTGTGGCTGGGCAGGTGTCAGCCCACAACCCTGCGGGTTGGCTTTGAGGTTGGTGGGGAAAGCACACATGGGCTCCAGGTTTGTGGCCTTTTCACTACTTGCAGTTTCTTTCCCTGACTTGGCTGTACTTCCTAGTGTCCAGGGAACTGGGCCAGATGCTTCCACCGCTGCCCGCTCAGAGGTGCTAGGTAAAGCCCTGCCTTTCCTGGAGGGGCTGGCATCAGACCGGGCTGCTGAGCACCCACGGCTGCATCTGTTGCTGAGTAGGTCAGAGCCTTGGAATCGACCTCAGTTTAAAAGCCAAAGACGCCAAACCCTTTGTTGGTGAGTTGGCTCTGGCCTTCTGTGTCCCAGAGCAGAATTGCTCCATAGGGTTTTATTGGCTGTCCTTTTTAAGGTGATATATCACCAGGTCTTTCTTCTGTGGCACTGCTGGGTGGGTTTAAACTACCAGCCTTTTGGCTGGTCCAATGTAAGCTGTTGGTCTGTCCCCACCCTCTCACTCCCACTTCCCCCACTAGGGACTGTAGACCTCAGATGGGTGTGAATCCTGCCTCTGCTGACACTACCAGTGTGACACAGCCTCCACGTGGCAGCCCCAAGAGAGAGTGGGGGCCCATCCCCAGCCCTGCCCCAGGCCTCTCCAGGGTTGGTGGTATGTGTGTCGCACAGCCTGACCCTGGCAGGCAGGCAGGCAGGCTCCGTTTCTGGCAGTCTGGTGTTTGCCTTAGATAGAGCCAGCCTGGGAGGAGCCTATCCCAGCCTTGCGTTTCTTTTCCCGGAATGTTGATCACTGCTCAGATTTGGCCGCAGCTCAACATGACTTGATCAGCTGTGGCACTGCCAACAAGGGCAGGGTGGGTGTGGGCAGCACTCTAGGCTGAACTGGTTAAGGGAGGCAGAGCTGGCCTGGGGGTTCAGCCAGGACCAGGCCTGGAGCGGATAGTACCCTCAAGGTGCATGGAGGGTGACTACAGGTCTGCTGAAACTCGGGGCTTCTCTTGCCCAGCTCTGCTTTGAGGGTATCCCCTTCCTTTGTTCAAGAGGGAAGAACTGATCTAGCCGTAGGCACTGGGGTCCCCAGGGATCTGGGTCAGCAAACAGCAGAGCCTGGGGTGTGGTGAGGGGGACACTGGACCGTGAGCCGATCCCCCCAGCTTTTACTGAGACTGTCTGCTAAGCCTCAGTCATGATTGTCTGTCTTCTCTGGGATACAGAAAGCTTGCTCAGTCTCTGCCGGACCCGTAGGCATTCTCCCTCAGCACAGCGTCCCTCCATATGCAGACACGTAGACACAAGAAGGCCTCCCGGGATGGGGTGTCCTTTGAGAACATCTGTCTGGCCTCTGTCCGCACTGGCCAGGGCTGTCTTTGGTTGTGGGGGGTGGATTTTTAGAGCTACATTACCTTCTGTGTGTCAGGTAGGGTATAGAGCTCCCCCGCCGCCCCCCATGTCCACATCTTAAAACCTGGGGAGGTTAGGAAACTAGTTCTTTGAACCAGTTTTATCTTGTTGTTTTTCCTGGGGTTGGGGGGGGGGGGGGCGGGATATTGATGTGCACACGGACACACCTTCCCGTCTAGCAGTCCAAGGTTGAGAAATACAGTCCACCGCTGGTATTTGACTTGCTCACATGGGGAAACTCGGTTGCTTTCTTCTACCCACCCTGATGGTGGCCGGTTGTGATTCTGCCTAGGTTTTGAGCAATCACATGGGACCCCCCTACCCATCCATCCCCTTTTGCTGTGGGATCACTGATGAAGCAGGTGACGGCCTCTGGACCATGAACGGGCAGCCAGTCCACGTAAGGAAGCAAAGAGCTGAATGTGGGTTGGACTCCGCTGTAGCTTCTTGGAATCCAGCAGCACAAGATGGTCAAAATCCCCCACTGTGCTGGGAAGGAGAGGGTGCTGCCTCGTGCCCTACAGCCAGGGAGGGGCCAGCTGGGGCCAGATTAAGGTATCCCACTTCCCAGCCAGAACCCCGCCCTGCGTGTACTGCAGAGCAGACTCTGAGAGGCAGACTCTCGGGCAGCCTGATGTGGCTTAGCGTTGGGAAATTGTCAGTTGGGTGTGTTGGTGGGTCCTTCAGGAAGGTCTGCTATCAGTGGTTCTCCACCTTCCTCATGCAACAACGCTTTCATACAGTTCCTCATGTGGTGGGGACCCCCCAACCATAACATTATTTTCGTTGCTACTTCACAACTGTCATTTTGCTACTGTTAAGAATCGGGCGACCCCTGTGAAAGGGTCGTTCCACCCCCAAGGGGCCGCAACCCACAGGTTGAGAACCACTGTCTTATACAGTGACGGCTTGCCTGGGTGTCCTTGATGACCAGTGGTGACTTCATACATTCACTCCTGCAGTGTGTCCGCAGCGTGCTGGGTGCTGGAGGTCCAGAGAAGAAGAAGGCCACACATTTCCCCTCTCAGAAAACAAAAAACCAGACTGCCATTGAGTCAGTGTGACTCATAGTCAACCTACAGGACAGGGTAAAACTTTGCCTGAGTTTCTCAGGCTGTGACTCTTTGTGGGACCTTATACTTTAGCCAAAACATAACAAACACTCCCCCACCCCCAACCTGTTGCCTTTGAGTCAATTCTGACTCATGACAACCCTAAAGAACAGGCCAGAACAGCCCTC